TCTCTCTCTCTCTCTCTCTCTCTCTCTCTCTCTCTCTCTCTCTCTCTCTCTCTCTCTCTCTCTCTCTCTCTCTCTCTCTCTCTCTCTCTCTGTCCCACTGCTTGCATGTTTATTCATCGTCGCTAGTGTGTTGGGAATTTGAATGTTTTTTTTTTTTTTTTTTGGCACATCTGTCAAATTTTGGCAGCGTTATGATTGCGGCTGTCAATCGGGAAGTTGAAATGTGAGCTGAATTCTGTGATTTCATGCCCTGACTGTCATGACAGTGTCCTCTCCAGGGCCTCTTTTCCGAGGGTGTATCTGTCCCCCGGTGTTGTTGTGTAACTCATGACACTAATTCTGAAGAGGTCTTGCCCCGATTGTTTAATCGACCGTTGTCCCCACCAAAGTCGGTCTGCGTGCTTGCTCAGTTGCTAGTTTTCGGAGTTTTCTTGAGAGGTCGGTCAAGCTTTGGGCCACCTTAGCACAGAATAGTCAGTTAGCTTTCTTGACATGAGCACCATTCCCTTGGCAAACAGCAATGCTATATCTTGTGAGCTGGTGTCCGATGGCTAAGAAGAGCTAAATCAATGTCCGCAGAATTCTGAGGTCGCTGAGAAGAGTTGAGAGGCAGCTGGTTGTCCAACGGCTCAGATGAGCTGAATCGGTATTTGAAATCAAAAGAGCCCTTTCTTGTGAGCTGGTAATTCGGGTCCAATCCGATCCCTGTGTTTGTGGAGCCCTTTACTTCACAGGCTATCTATCCTCCTCCTCCTCCTCCTCCTCCTCCTCCTCCTCCTCCTCCTTCTTCTTCTTCCTCTTCTTCTTCTTCCTTCATAGACCTCCTTCTTCTTCCTTCATAGACCTTCTTCTTCTTCTTCATCATAGACGTTCTTCTTCTTCTTCCTTCATAGACTTTCTGGTTCTTCTTCTTTCATAGACCTTCTTCTTCTTCTTCTTCTTCCTTCATAGACCTTCTTCTTCTTCTTCTTCTTCCTTCATAGACCTTCTTCTTCTTCTTCTTCTTCTTCTTCTTCTTCTTCTTCTTCTTCTTCTTCTTCTTCTTCCTTTATAGACCTTCTTCTTCTTCTTCTTCCTTTATAGACCTTCTTCTTCTTCTTCTTCTTCTTCCTTTATAGACCTTCTTCTTCTTCTTCTTCTTCGTCTTCTTCTTCTTCCTTCATAGACCTTCTTCTTCTTCCTTCATAGACCTTCTTCTTCCTCTTCTTCTTCTTACTTTGCAGACTAGCTATCTTTATTTTTTCTTCTTCTTTGTCCTCCTCCTCCTCTACCTCCTTAGTAATTAAATTTGGACCATTTCTCAATTTGTGTGTCATCTTTGTGCAGGGGGGGATGGTAATCTTATGTCTATCGGCTCAATTTTAGCAGATGTATGGAAGAAGGACAAACGAGTAGTATGGTCTTTCATGTGATATGTGTCTTCTCCCGTTTGTCATTGATTTGTGTAATGTTATTCTCTCCTGTGTTGATCACTGCCCTGACATATCGATTGGGCAGTGTATGTGTTTTCAGGAGACTATAAGCTGCACTCCGGCATTCGCATTTCTCTTCGGAACCTTCTATCCAATTCCCGATTCCATCTGTGCTGCCTGTTCGGACTAGGGAACTCCTCCCAGATGGAGGTGCAGTTGTAGAGTACCTAATCCTTTTCTGCGAACTGACAATGGGCTGCACTTTCTTCGCTGCAAAAAGGCTCCTTCTCGGTGAAAGACTTTATTGACTTGCCAGTGCTGCCACCCTCACTCGCTATTATATTGAAGGCAACTATATTGTCAAGTTTTCAACACACACACGCACACACACAGAATGACATTATGGACGAGTTGGTGAGGCATGGATGGGTGATGGATGAACTGGCGTCCTGATGCCTTACTACCCTGTATTCAAAAGGAAGTTAATTTTTAAATTTTAAGCCTATAGGCAGGCTATTGCAGTATAAACATTATGGCCCCTGAAGATCCTATGGGATATACCATTCAGAATCAGATATCTGCCCTATGGATATACTGCATGCCATGTTCTCTTGGGATCGGAGTGGATCAATATCCAGGAGAATAAGGGACCAACCACGCCAATGTAGCGCGGATAAGTGCTCACCTGCTCTTCTCTGTGTGTGTGTGTGTGTGGGTGTGTGGGTGGGTTGGTGGGTTGGTGGGTGGGTGTTCCCGGTGCACACAGGTGATGGGACTCCAGCAGCGTGGGGTAAAAGCAGAGCACATGGCGAGCAGTCAGGCAAACAGCCGAGCTGTTTATCAGAAAGCGCAAAATGGGGAATACGACATCATTTACCTCACGCCTGAGAAAGCTCTTTCGCTTCCGCCAAGGTTCCATCTCGCCGCCCTGTGCTTGTGTGCATGCGCATTTTGGCTGTGCAGTCCAATTCCAGACAGCACTGAAAACCTCTAAGCATCAATGTATTGTACAATGAGCGCACG